AGCAACCCTTCGGGTTGAGGAAGAGGTGCTGAACTGCTCCTGCGAAGAGCAGAACAGGGGCGTGTTGGGGTAGAAATGGGTTTGGAGAAGAAAAGCCGTGATTATCACTTTCCACAGGTGGGGATCTGTTGGGGGGGCTGTTCTTCTTTTCTGAATCAGTGACTAGAAATAAACGTCAGTAGCATTGTGCACAGTCACTTAAAAGTTCTCCCCAAATTCCTTTCCTATTGTCTAAGCATAGCAGGGGCTGATATTTACAAGTGTGGTGAGGCCAGGTGCCTGTCCCTTAAATACTCCCTAAAGTATTACCTTGAAATAATCTTGAGGCTAGTTCAAGGAAACTGCCTAGGTTTGTTAATCCTTAGTGTAAAGTAGACAACTTATATGGAAAGTAGGTGTAGTCAATTTGAAGGGAAAAAAATGGGACAATTTAATCTTTATGGTGTGTTTCTGTACCTGATAACTTTCCATAACCCTGTCTGTATCCTGATTAGAGGATCCTGCTGTTGAAACAGCAGAGGAAGCTAAGGAACCAGCAGAGGCAGACATCAATGAACTCTGTAAAGACATGTTCAACAAAATGGCCACTTACTTAACAGGTGAACTGACAGGTAAGGCACTGCAATACTGACCTGCAAGTAAGTTTTTGTTCCTTTTCATTTTCTTTTGAAGAAATCTGTTGTGTAGTTTGTCTAAACTATATCTATTTAGATCATATCTGGCAACACTGGCAGTTCAAGTCTGGCGTGTTGCTAGACTACTAACAACACTGAGATTAGTCATATTAATGAAGTCCCAGAATAGCACATTTTTCAAAAGAATTCAGTATGATATCAGCAACTTCGAAAAAATTCTTTTTAGTCTTGCAGAAGCTTGTACGTGGAAAAACAAACAAACAAAAGGAGTCTAGGTTAAGAAGGACTAGAAGAGAAGCACAACTGAGAGTGGAACATGTGCAGCTGTTTTGTTTCTGAGTGAGAGCAAGGATCATACACGTGTTTTCCAACTTTCATGCTTTAGAATAAACTGCTGTGCAACATTAACTGGAGCAAAGTAAACTGCTCAACAAGTTAGTGGATTCCATAGGCTCTAATTTTGAAAGCACTCCACAGCACAACTGATTTGCATGGGCTTGAAGGGTATATGGTACAGATTACCAGTCTGGATTTGTGCTATCAGTTTTGTAAACTTAAGTGTGTAACTGACAGAATAAGAGTAGAAATGTGAGGAATTAGTCAATTTTTCTCTCTCAAAAAAAATTGCAAGTGCATAAGTATTCATCAGTCCAGTTGATTTCACAATTCACAAAATGTAATCTCTCTTTTTGTAGAACATTATACTAATACCTGTATTACCATCTAAACTATTCTTTGTTACATTTGGCTATTGGTTTGAAATCTCTTGTCCTCTTGAAAAGTCTGCACCCAATTCAAACTGCATCAACTTTTATTTAAAATAAACTCTTTCCTTTTTAAGCCACCAGTGAAGACTACAAACTCTTGGAAAACATGAATAAGCTGACTAGCTTGAAGTACCTGGAAATGAAAGATATTGCTATAAACATCAGTAGAAATTTGAAGGATTTAAATCAAAAATGTAAGTAAACCAAATAAGGTAAGGTATAATGAATGGTACACTTGTTTGGGAAATGAAGCATCTAAGAGTCAGATAGTTCTCACTCCATTAGGTGCTGAAGGAAGGAAAACTCACTGAAATACACATGCTGCTATACAATGCCAATCTTGTATATTTCTTTACAGCTATAGATTATGTAGACAGGCATAAGAGAAAACACAGCTGAATTTATGTCCTGTTTTACCCCAAATTTTGGATCTGATAGGAAATAACACTTCTTTTGATTCACATTGTATTGTTACTTGTGTTGAGTCTAGCCAGTACTCTTAAACATTTCATACTTTTCTGGAACACGGCTATCAGTCTCACCACTTGATTTTGGGGCAGGGGCAGGAAGGAGCTTTTAAATTGTTCTATCTGAAGAATGTAATGAGAAATTCTTGTGTTTCAAGTGTGAACTTTTTCTTGGAAGTGAATTACTGAGAACTGACAGATACGATTTTTCTGCTTTTTTAAGATGCTGCTCTTCAGCCATATTTGGAACAAATAAACCTAATTGAGGAACAGGTTGCAGCTCTGGAGCAGGCAGCTTATAAATTGGATGCATATTCCAAAAAACTTGGTAACTATTGTCCTCTACTGTTACTACCTAGCCATATAGTCCCTTGCAAGGGGATTTAAAAAGACAAAGTAAACTCCTCTGTTTGACAAGTCTGAGCTGCAGAGTTGCCTATGCTGCTTTTGAGCAACAAACGTATATGAAGTGGCAAGCGCTGGCAAAAGATTAATATATCAAGTTATATGGAGGTGGACTAGTACAGGTATTATTGAACAACAGCTTACTAGTGAGGCTTGATTTCCTTTTACAACATGCACTGACCCAAATTTTAAAGACAGATGTTTAATCCTGCAAATGGAGGGATTCATAAAGTTCCACCAGGCACCCAAGTCCCCTTGGCTTAAATTAGTATTAGTTGTCTGACTTAAGCACCTGGTTCTTAAACATTTTATTGTACAGTTATATTTGCCTAAATGCTTTAGTAAAAAATGACCCTGAGTGACACTGTAAATTAACTTGAATTTTAAGATGTATAGCAGCTTACAGGATTCAAAGCTTTTACCTATCCAGTCCTAAAATATTGTTATTTTTCCTTCTGCAGAAGCCAAGTACAAAAAACTGGAGAAACGATGAAATTACAACAGTCTTTAAGTTGGAGTTGGGCTATGAGTCAGACTTATTTCTGTTTAAGTTGCACAACAGCAATTCTGTATGTTGGCACGGATTTGGTTACAGCTAACATCAAGACTGGTAACTTTTTCTATCTATTGAATACAGTAGCCTGTATTCAGGCTTAAAGCTGAATAATATTTTCCTCTTCTCAAGAGGTTCTGTTACCTCAGTTGTCCTGCAGTGAAAAGTAGAAGCCTGTCCCTAACCCATATGTTGATATTGGCTATCTGTGTGTTAGTCCTATGTCCTACATGAAATCCTCTATCTAGGAAAAGCCCTCCATAACCTATGAAGACATTTTCCCTTAGTAGCGGCAGGACCTAAACTTCATTTTTTCCTTCATTGAGCTCCGCGTTGAGAAGATACCCAAGTCTTTGGAGTTATGAGCATGGTATTGAAAACACTTCATTTTGGTATCCACCTTTATCTGTTTGAAATAGAGAGACTAATTACTAGAAATTTACAATAAAACAACTTGCTGCATTTGTCTCTCTGGAATCTCAAATTCCTGTTGGAAAGATTATGTAAGTTGTCTTTTTATTTTTTCAAAGGGTCTATTAATAAAGACAAACTCCTTCCAGCTACTGGAGATCATAAAAGAGAACATGTTTTAAATGCTGCATCAAGTATTCCTGCAATTACATTCTTTGACTGTCTGGACCTCAGGTGAAATTGCAAGAAGTATTGCTTTATCACATGCTCAGTTAACTTAGCAGATCCTTTCTCTACTTTACCAATGAATTTTGATCCTAGTAGTTTTTGAAGAGGCATGCCCAGCACAGAAAGCTGCTTCTCTACCAGATCAACAGTGTTCCAAATTGCTAATTTAGCAGAGCCCTTCTTACTGAACAGGTACTTCTACTCCCAGGTTTTGGTTTTTTCCCCTGTACCTATTGACCCTGACTAGTTCAAGCTGGCTTTTGAGTGAGTTGCAGTCGAGGATAGTACAAGTACTGATGTAGGAAAGTGGTTCAAACTTCCTACAGGCTGTTTAGAACGTCTAGTCAGGTGCCAATGTGGTAAAGATCATAATGCTGTCAGTGTACAGCCACTGTAAATAGTCAAGGCGGACACTTTTCCCTAGTGCTATTTAAAAGCAGTGAAGCAGGTGACCTTTGAGAGCCTTCACCATCACTTTAAAAATCCTGGGTTTAAAATAGAAAATACTATTCTATATGGCCTTGATGTAGGATTTGAGAAAGGGTTGAGTTCACTTTGAAGAAAGGCCTTTTTGGAATGAGCATCTTTAAAGAACAGGGTTTAAGTCTCCCAGAGGTATCCAGCCATTTGCATCTGTATTGCTTTTATCCATAGTTAGCTCACTGATGACTTTTCTACCAGTGAAAGCAAATCAGACGTTTTAGTATTGTTATCAAAGCAACATCCTCCAACCCAACAGGTAGAGGTACCAACAGATGAGTTATCATTTCTGTGTTGGAGGAAATTATACCATGTAGAACAGCAGCCTGTTTTAAAATCTGAGATTGTCATCTTCTCGGGATTCACGGTGTGTTTGCAGTTCTGCTGGACAAGATCTAGCCAGCTAGATCTAAAATCTTCGTGCCTAGAGACTGGCATTTGAATGACAGCATGAACAGTGGCCTGCTTGGTGATCTCTGATGCTGGGAAGTGGTACCACAAGGTGGTAGACAATCTGAAAGTCCTGTTTCTCCAGTGTTTCATGCATCTGTAGATTATACAAGAGCTAGACATGATTCAGGCAGACTCACCAGTGTTTTTAATAGTACCATCGTTTCTCTTTGTCATTGTGGAGGAGAATCACAGATGTTTGGCTGCTGATGTAAAAGCTTGAGGGTGCTGCTTGGAGCTCCTCTGTTCCCTGGAAGAATGAGGGTTTTCATTACAGCATATAGCACTTGCATGTGGCTGGAAGCTTAGTCTCTGATCCCTTGTAAGTTCCCTCCCTGGCCCCTACCCATGTCTAAGAATAGAAAAGTTACTGATTCATATTACATTGGAAATGGTTCTGGATAGGTGGACATCATCTAGAGCTGACCAGCCACTGCAATGCTTACCAGGGCAGGTTGTTCTAGGATTGAAACAAGACAACTGATCTTCCAGCCTAGTGATCTCTTTGGTTCCCAGCTCTTTCTGGGAAGATAGTGCTAGAGGCACAGAGCGGATGCTGGCACACGAAGGGACTGTTCTCCACTGCAGGGAGGCAGCTGGCCCTGCACTCTGGCTAGGTACAGAGGCCAAGATGAAGGGGTGACAGAGTTGTATCCCAAGGAATTACAATGGTGAGCTGGCCATCTGCTGTCTAATGATCATCTCCATGTGATAAGAGTAATATCAAGCTGTAAGTGCCAGTGACTTGTCCTATTGCACGGCAGCAAGCCAAATAAGTTCTGTTCATGGCAGATAACCTGCAAATCAAGTATTGAAGATAGAATGGAACGTGGCCTAGACATGCCCCATGCTCTAATAGCAGCACGCTGCCAATGTTGCAAGTCCACTCCCTGATCAGATGTGGACCATATGCTCAGACCCTCAATGGGAGACAGACTCCACAGATCTAAGCCGGGTATGGAACTGGATGTATGGCAGCCCTGCTCTGTCTTAAGATGAGTCCCAGCCACCTTCCCTTTTCCTTAACACATACTGTCCACGTTCCAGGTGGGATGCCAAAACTCATAGTTCCATAGTAAGAAGGATTCACTGTCACTGGGATCGTAACAGCAGCCTTGCTGTGTAAATTCCTGAAGGGACCAAGAAGAACAGCATGGTTCTTCTCTCAGTTTTATATCCTCTAGCACCTCCAACTGCCTTGGACCCAGTAGGGCACCTTTTCATCTTGAGACCGTGGGGAGGCACATAATAGTGAAGCTGTTTCAGGGTTGCTAGTCTTTCTTAATAGAAAAGAGGAGACAGTTATGTGCCTCGCCTTTCTTAAGCGTGGTTTAATGTAGCAGGCATCCTGCAGCAGCCAGACTTTCCTTCCATAATATGTGCCTGGAGCATGCTATGTTGCCAAAGGCAGCTATGGACATGACAGCAGCCCAGCAGGAAGTTTTCCTAACACGGGAGTTGGATATAAGGATTGTTAGAGTGTTTGGGCAGAAAGGGTTGCACTCAAGAATAGGCGACCGCTAGCTAAGCAAGAACACATTCTTGGGTGCATGAAGGCTAGAGTTTGTCCTCTGCCCAGCAGAGAACTGGAAATTTGTGATTAAGCAGATTGTGACTGTACAAAACACCAGTCTGGAGTACACACATATGAGCTGTAAGCCCTAATCACTTCTCAGGTCTCCAAAGACATGTCTGAAAGCAAAGGATGCTGTCAGTGTTATGACTAAAATTGAAATGGTGCCCTCTAAGACAGCATCCATGCAGCTGTTGTTAACAGGTGTTGTACCTCACCCCTCGAGGCCAAGGACATCAAGGGGACTGAGTTACAGTGAACAGGTAAATACGGTCACATGAAATTAAAAGAGTTGTATCTTGTTCCTTCTGAACTTACCTCACCTGGAGAATGCTCAGTCTGCGTGGAGCTTCCTGGCCTGCCCCATCCCACCTCTTCATAGTCAGAGGCCCGGTGTTTGGTTTGTATGTTTATAGCAAGGCAAAGAGCAGGCTCAAGAATAGGTTTAATATACTCCAGTGACACTCCTATTTGGATCTGGTTTTGTAGAACTGCTGGCTTAGCCATGTCTTGTTTCAATCACAGGTGCATTTGATAGTTGCTTTGATGAAGAGACGCATTCACCACCTGCAACCAGCATGCTGTTGGAAGGTCTAGGAATCTGTGTGATCGGGGCATAGAAAATTTCAAAGAAAAATAATATGGCCTTTCTCTGCCCGTGGTCTTTCCTTGACAGGATTGTAGGAGGGCCACAAGAGGGCGATGTGTCAGCAGAAAACACTTCCACAAGATAAAACGGTAAAGGCAAAGTAAGGACCAAAGTTGTTCCTGTTGAAAAAGTTGCTTTTCTACGTATAGAAAATACAATGCTATTTTAAAACTTCAGGAACTCTGAAGATGGAAATCCATCTAGCCATGCATTGCCAGCAAGCACTTAGTGTTTTCAGGTAAGAGAGCTAAGAAATAGCAAATTCCTTCACAAACTCTTGAGTGTCCCACCTCCAGGAAGAAGAAATGGGGAGAGGAACTTCCCACAAGAGGAAAAGTCCCACAAGTGACTTTTACTGGGAGGAAATTTTAGAGACTGACTACCTGGCTGGCTGGAGGATTGTGTGGTGGTGGCATCCCAATTAGGACACGAGCTGACAGTTGTGTCTGCCTGAGGGCCCTCTGTGTGACTGGTAGAATCCAAATCACAAGGCAAGGATGGCAGGTCCTTGGAGAGTAGCACCACAGAAGAGACATAGCTAGGGGTGTGTGTGAACAGCATTGTACTGGGGAAATGTATAGTCCAAAAGCAGAGGCACAACTTGATTGCTGCTCAAACATTTCACCTGGAGAGTCTGTGAGAAGTTCCAGAGGAGGTACAGGGGGAGACTAAATCTCTATCTCTTCTTTTCTGCAGCATTTCCTGGTATAATGGGATAATGGGGGGAAGAACAGCTAATGAAGGGAAGAACAAGGAAGAGAACAGAGGAAAGGGAGGGCTGACAGATGAGAGTCAAGGGGCTAAGTATCTCATCAAAGGGGTCTATGCAACTGCTTCGGAACTGAAATGGTTCTTGGGGACTTGGACTGCAACTGCAAACCAGGGGGTGAAAATCAGCCTAGCAAATACAGCTCTTTAAGCAGAAACAGAAGAGTTCAGTTCCAGAGGAGGATTTTTTCCCTGGCACCTCGAGACAGTTCTGCCCAGCTGCTCTAACAGGTTATTCTGAAGTCATCCAACTATCAGAGCAGTACTTTGTGGAGATGTCTACAGTCTTCAGAATGGGCTCTTAAATCGTTAGTGTAAACTGCAACATGTCCAACAGCTGAAAAACAGCTCTTCTAGAAATATACTTTTTAACCTGGAACTCTGTGTTCAATAGGAATGTTAAAAGATATCCAATGGGATGATAATCACAAGAGTATATAATGGCCTGAAGATAAATACATTGTTGTATTTGCAGCATCCCATCAGAGGACAAACATATAAGCAACGGTAACAGGCAAAAGACAAGCATGCTATGAAAATGTGACAGGGTTTGTTAATGCAAGGTTTGTTAATGATTAATGTTTGTCCCTGCTTTCTGGTATTACAGTAGAACAAGGTTGACCTTAAAAAAAGGCTTAAAAATTAAAGCAGTTCATCCAAGTTTGTTGGCAGCAAGTTAATTTTTCTAACCAGTGTGTTTAACCCAGAGGAAACGAGAACAGCTATTGGTTACCTTTGCACTGTTGTTTTTACTGTAGGCTTCATAAAGTGAGCCTTCCAGGATGCAGCTTCAGCCCTTCCTGATCCCACATCCCTGTTCCATGTTGCAGTGGAACCCCTGGGAGCCACAAGCATTTTCTTGCTGGTTTGTATTGTCTGCCTCCTTGTCTGTTCAGTGTGGAGGAAGATGTGTGAAACAGGGAAGCTGCCTCCTGGGCCATTTCCTTTGCCCCTCATAGGAAACACGCTGCAGCTGAAGAATAATTTGCCTGAAGCAAGTGGATGTAACTTAAAAGCTATGCTCTGTGGTAA